GCTTTGAAGTAACAAATGCTTGGACTAATTTCTTAGCATCACCCCTTGACAGGATACTTCAAGAGATGAAAGAAAGATACTCTAGAACCCTCTCTGTTATGCGATTTAAACATTCAAGTCCTGATCAAAAATAACAGAAAGTTTTTTGATTTTATTATCTTAGATCAAAGTAACTCATTGTGGGTAGATATTTTACTCCAATAGTGATACTCCATAACAACATTATTTGCATACAATTAAAATATACCGTAGAGTAAAACTACTACTAAAAGGGCAGTTTTTGTCCAAGTATAAAGTTAATGTAACCGAGCAAATTCAACTAGTTAGTTAGTTGAAATGAGAGTGAGTCTTGATGGGCCAGATGGATGGGCACAAGGCTGGATCAGTAAAGGGCAGCAAGTTCCTTATCGACTCAGACGACAGCAAGGTGGAGGTGGGGTACTGGTATGGGATGATATCATCAAAGATGAGCTTGTGGGACCTTTTTGGGTTGATGATGGAGTCAAGATCAACTCCCAGATCTACTGCTAATTTCTGGGAGACACCTTCCTCAAACAGTGGTACAAAAAGAAGTTGCCATAAGAAAAACATGATATTCATGCAGGACAATGCTCCGTCACATGCATCAAAATGCACCACAGCGTGGCTGGCCAGAAAGTCTAAGATGAGAAAAAATGACATGGCCCCCTTGTTCACCTGATCTGACCTGTGGTCCTTCATGAAACGTGAGATCTACAGGGAGGGAAAACGGTACACCTCTCTAAACAGTGTCTGGGAGGCTCTGGTGGCTGCTGCATGCAGTGTGGATAGCAAAGAGATCAAGACAGTGATAGAGTCTATGGATGGAAGGCTTTTGAGCGTCATGGTGAAGAAAGGTGGCTATATTGGTCAATGATTTCAGTTTTTTTTGTTTTTGAATGGTGCAAATGTTTGTTTCTGAATTTTGAGTTGTTATATTGGTTTACCTGGTGAAAATAAACAAGTGAGATGGGTATATATTTGTTTTGTATTACGTCGTCTAATAATTTTGCACAGTAACATTTAACTGCACACAGACATCCTCATAAAATGGCCAAATCTTAAAATAATTACTTCCAAAAATATGAAACTTTGATATATGAGTCTTTTGGGTTGATTGAGAACACAATTATGGCTCAATAATCAAAATAATCCTCAAAAATACAACTTGCCTAATAATTCTGCACACAGTGTAAGAGGATTTAGATATAAAATGTCTATTATGCTCAACCAAGAGGTTTGTCTCTGTTAGAAGAGGATACATACATCCCTTTAAAATTAATGAAACATAAAAAAAAAGCTTTTTTTTATTTTGTATTATTACATTTTATTAAAAAGTAAAATAATCAGATGGAAATTTGAAAATACTTCCTAAAAAAAAAAAAAAAAAAAAAGGTAAACCAGTTTTTTTTTTCTGCTCTGGCATGACTTTTGGCTCCAGACTCAGACTTTGAAGGTTCCCACATTCTCTTCCAGACTGAAGCCAGGACTCTGGCAGGGTCCCTCTAAAACATTTAATAGGGGGCAAAAAAACTAAACGTTTCCAAAGGTTTAAGATAAATATTGAACCTAAATCTATGAGGGGTATGATTGATTCTTGGATTAAGTATAGTAGCCTAAAAAAAGAAAAGCATTAATGTCAAGTGTGCACAACAAACGACAAGTTTTTATTTATCAGTTGGATATTTTATTCTTTCAGTCTCTCTTTATACATTACATACTTTAGCTCTGCAATAAAGCTTTGAAACCAGAACCTTTTTTATTTTTTTCGTTTTGACACAAGGTCAAACACCCAAAACTCCTGATAGGGTCAAAGGATTAGTTTACATATTTTACATGACACAAATTTGTGTTGACATCTGGAGGTAAGGGTTTCTCTTCAGTAGACACGCTTGTATGTTTTAATCTCCCAACATTTTTGCAAGTCAGATTTTTATTCAAGATTTGTTACCCTTTGTTTCAGGGATGTGACTGTGGACCCTCTTAGAGCTCGCCTTTAATATATCAAAGCTATATTTTCATTATTATTTCATAGCCATTACACACTCATTTTGCAAAAGCACTGGTATTTCACTGGATCGGTTTTCTGAACTTGAGTTGTTTTTAAATTGACTTCACTTGGCAGACAGGCACACGTCTTAAAAGAAGTTTACTATTGAAAAAAAGCTATCATTTGATTTTTAATTTAATAGGTGACCACAGACAAAAGACAGCTTAGTCTGAAATGTCACCTTTCAGTTATCCTGTTTCATTTTCTACAACGCTATGCATATGCGCCAGTAAAAGTCGTTTTAAAAACACCCACTGAAAAGACTCAAAAACAGACACACTGGCACATGCATACAGGAGAGACTCACTCGGTGTCTGACAATAAAAGGGATTGCTGTTTGAAGACTCACATGGCACATATTTGACATCTTTCAGCATTAAAACAGCATTAAAACAGCAGTAAAACACTTGAAGCAGCTGATTCAAACAGCCTCACATGCAAAAGCTGAAAGCTATCATCTTTTATCGCTGAAACAATTTGAGTAAGAGTCACAACATTTCACCTGGTTTAGCTAGACTGAATAAAACGAGAAGATTATCTGATAGTATTGTACAGCAGTGATGCAGGGGTTACTCCCCCCTCAACAGTGAAGATGACCAGCCGTGTTGTCCTGTATTGGTGTGTATATTTGGTGATTTAAAACACAACATAAATGAAACATGAGGTATGTGTTATAAGTTCACCTGAAATATGTTAAGGAAGTGGAAACAAACAAGTCATATCCAGCTTCATACTATATGATTCATATAGTTTTTCATCCTGTCAATGTGCAAATGCTTCTAGGCTCAAAAATAGGTTTAGTTATATACATCAAGCACCTTGGCGACATAGCTTCACTCTTTTCTCAACCATTTCCTATTGAGTCACACCATTGACATTTATTTTGGCACTCAGTGAGTTTTGACAAATTTTCAGTTATTTAGCTGTCTTCTTGCTCACCCATGCTCACTCTAAGCTATAGCTTAACTGCAAAACACATTATTAATGGCTCATCTTTATTGCAAAGTACAGTTTTAACGCACAGTCCAGGCAGGTTTTAGGAGGTGTACCATCACTGCCTTCTAAAAGAATTGGTTAAATTTCAAGATTTTTTTTTTTTCTGTATGGATTACATTGACACAAACCTTGTGCTAATTACCCCAGTTAGCCCCACTTAAGAGGAATGCAGGTATGATTGAGGCTGCTAGCTGTTAATTTTCATATACCTTGCTGCTGTAGCTGCTTATTTTATTGGACTTACTCTCCAAAAGACTAACTTTAAGTACTGCTTTAGATTATTAAAGGTAAAATTCTGAGGAGGATAGACTGGCTGCGGGTTTTTCCTTTTTTTAAACGATCTAGGTCTGGAGAAATTAAGCATAGTTTTCACTGTAAAGTCAAGCAAACATATGAAACCATCTCTAACCTTAAACACATAGTTTGAGTTATTTTAGGTTTTTAGAGGGCTATCAATATCTCATTTCTAGTGATTAACAAAACTTCTTTATTTGGTCCAAGCAGTGTTTCGTTTTCATCAATTAGTGACAATAGTCAGAGCAATGGCTGCTACATACTCTATGATAAACTATTTTTTTCTTCCTCCCATATTTATGAGCACAGACTGACACCATTTTATTCTTAAAACTCTGTCTTGGGGGTTCTTGTTGCCTCTTCTGCAGGCAGGTAGAAAAAAGAAGAGATTATTTTTCTGTATTGTTTTCGGGTTGGAATTTTATCTAACTGTTCTTGTTCCGTAATCTTAAAAAATATTGAATCTTAAGGCAGTTTTTTTTATAATTTAAACTAAGATTGCGGGGAGATATGAGTAGCTTACCAGCAGCCTTTAAAACAAAATCAAAATAAGAGTCTTTGAACAAAGATATTTAAAATGAAGTTCTGAGAAATTATTTTAATTAATCAGCAGCCTTTACTCCAGCCTTTAAAGCTGCAAAAGTTTGGAAAAAACATTTGAGTTATCAATAGTAAGTGACGCACAGAGAGCAGAGATAAGCTCAAGGAGGACTTATTTTATACCTCCACAGACGTTGATCTTTTTGTTTAAGTTATTTTCTATGATAGAGTAGGCCTTTTAAAAATGTTCAAGCTACGTTGTTCTCTGGCCCACAAGCCAATATCCTTAAGAGATTTTCATTGTTTTTTATGTATTCCATACATGTTTTCCTGGTGTCTTATTTGCGCTGAATAGGTCTAACTTGGAGGAATATAGATTAGCTCTATTTGGAGAGCAAATAACAAGAAGAGTAGGTCCATATCTAATTTCTGCCATGGAAAAGAACTCCGAAAGATTTGTTTATAGTGAGGAGCTGTGGAGAGGTTATACAAAATAAATATCTTAAAGTATTGTCAATCATTTTAAGCAATCAGCTTTAAGAATTAGGAAAATGTTTGGGTTTTTTTTACCCAAGACTTAAAGCAACAGCTAATCATGATGTTTTTAAGTAGATTTCTGCCATCTTAACACAACTCAAAAATCAAAAGGATAATTTTTAAACCGTTGTAATTGTCCAATTTTTTATTTTTTTTTTACCAACAGTGAATATCTCTTAGAATCCCTTAGAAAGCTTTTTTTAACGTCTTTTTGCATACAGAAACAATTTTCTTAAAAAAAAACAAAAACCAAAATCAATTCCTTTATTTTTGTTTACGCTGACACTCGGCAGTCAATAAGCTGGCTCTTACAGGTAACCGCCTTTGTTATTGCATTCATGTAATTTTATTTTTTTTTTAAACGTGGTATGTTGTCAGTTATCATGTTAGTGCTCTGTTATGTTTACCACCACCACTCAGTAATAGTGCTTAGATACGGTTCTCTGAAAGCAAAACGTTGTTTGTTCCTTTAAAGCCAGTCTAAATTTAATCACCAAGCAACTTACAGCATGGTGGTGAGTTCATCTTAACAGCAGTTCAGCTAAAAGGAGCCATTTCTAGCCTGAGAGGTGGGAGAGGAAATTACACGATTCTTAGCCTATAAATAATGAGACTGCACAAGCTTGTCTTTGACCGTCTCCCCTCCCAGAATCATTATTGCATAATAAACTGGTTTGGCTCAACAACAAATGTTTGTAGTGGAGTATGATGTCCAGCAAAAACTTTGACTCTGTTTGAAATTATTTTTTTTATATTTATCTCTTTCTTTGATTTGTAAAACAATTAGCATATGGTATTAATTTATGAAGATATCTGGGGAAAAAACTAATAAATTGTGCATCAGAGGATCCTATGTTACAAAAAAATGCATTACTTAGAAACTTTCTAATGGGGGAAAATAACTTGTTATTTTTATGGCATCAATATTCTAACAATTAATTTATTAATTTTGAAATTCAATGGACAGGAAGACTTGAAATATATCAGGAGTGGACCTCAAGGATAAAATATTTCCTTCATGTTATTGTTGCTCATACATCATCAATAAAGTGTGTGATGAGTTGGAAATTCAAATAAGCTTGTTTTGAGTCTTTTGTTGCATCCTTTCTTCACAAAGATTAACAGCTGTTTTTTTGTTCAGAATCATAACTTTCTCGCATTCTTAAATTAATCACAAGGTTTGCTTTTTTAGGATTTCTATGACTGATATTCACAGACAACAGATAATTCAATAATTTAAGGTTTTGTTGCATGAGTCAATGTAAACACAGCATTGCCATAGTTTTAGGTGTTTACAGTGTTGTACTGTTGCCGTTTGACCCAGAGGTCACATGAATGCAGCATCTTTAAACAGCCGTGTGATAAACTGTCAAGTTCTCCCATTGCTTGATGAAGAGAGGGAGGAAGACGAAGACTTGTCTGTTTCTCTCTGATCGCTCTCTTCTGATGGAACAACAGGGGTACTACATATAACAAAGACAGAAAAAGAAAAATATTATAGAATATAGGATGGAGAATAGTAATAATTCCAAATTGTAACAATATATTGTAAAGACTGTAAAGAGACAAGAGAGGAATGAATAAATATTAAAACAGTTATGGCTTTAGTTTATTCTGCAGTTGTTTAAAAAAAGGGGGAGAATACAGAAGCTTGTAATGGTGTCTGTAATGGTCAGAAAACCTCCAAAGAATAAAGCAGTTAATAAAACTAACATCAGCAAAAAAAAAAGTTTTTTTTAGCTATATCTACCATAAACCTAACCATGTCTGCAGAAAATATGAACAAGAACACCTAAAAGGTGAAAATGTACAAAAAAGAATACAATGCATAAAAATGTTGTTTATAATTCTACAAATGAAAAACAACGTAATAATTCTTTCAAGTTGGAAATTTGGCTTCTGGTTGTTTTTGTTTGCTATTTAACCCTGGAATGTTTCAGTTAAAGCCTCATCCTGTTTGCATGTTTTTCCAAATTCTGTAGGTTATGGTTACAGTCGGAAGAGATCAATAATCAATAGTTTGATGTTAAAACACATTATCAGGGAACCAGAACAGTATTAAAATATTAAAAGAACATAAAATATGTTTAAATAAGGCCAAATTGAAGTGCATGTTTTTACCTGTCTCCACTCTGGGTGATGAGCCTCCTACAGGTCTCCATCTGAACATCCAGGCCTCTCTTCATTGAGCACATCTCCATGTACTCGTGCAGGTGCCGGTTCATGTCACTCTTGGCTGTGGCCAATTCCAGCTGGAAACACATCCCAAAGATTCAAATCCATAAAATCACAGCCAGTCACATTGAGCCCTGCTTAAAACAATAGTTTAATGGTTGAAGGGATAGAAAACACTGAATAAAAATCAGAAAACAATGCAGTTATATAAAGTCCTTTAATTGCTATTTTATTAATATTTCACATTAAGTGTTACTGTGGGTTTCAAATGTGAATCTAACACAAGTAAAACATATGGAAAGCAGTTTTAGATCTCTGTTTAGATGACATATGGATGAAAATGGATAAAAGTAGCACAGAGGGCACACATCTAATTCAACATGTTTAAGTTTGAAAAGTGTCTGACCTCAATTTGGTCAATTGTCTCTTGGTATTCCTTCTCGCGGGACTTGAAGAGACATTCTGTGTCATTAATCACCTTTTCCAGACAGTCCTCCTCCCACAGACAAACACAGAGCAGCGACATTGTGAGAACCAGAAAAGAAATATGTAGAGGTGATAAAATGCAGTAAGCATAAAATGAGCCTGCTGTCAAATAATCACTGGACACTGAAGAGACAACCATCCAAGCATATAGCTTCCATGGTTGTTTTATTCTCAGATTCCACAAACACGGGTTGTTTAAAAGAAGAAACAGACTGTTCAACAATGAAGTGACTGCTGAATGAAAGCAAACACCGACATGCTCTTATTGGGGGACCAACCACGCTGTGAAACAATAAAGCTTGTACGCATCACTAAACTGCAGCTGTCCAGGTGTTACAACAGACAGCTCATGACATCAGGACCTTAAAAACTTGATTTAAATCTCAAAAAATTACAAACCATTTTAATTAACTCTAATCAACTTAAATGAAGCAGGATTTTACATTTTGCTTCATAAAAATATTTGAATATTCTGACGTGGAAAGCTTTATATCAAAAAGAAGAGTTTTTAGATTTAAAGACTGATAGCAAACAAACATCCAACAGAATGATTAGGAATTTTGCTGCAATTGAAAATTTAACCACATGCATATATATATTTTTTATTTAACGCAGCCTTGATCAGTGCAGATATATCTTAGGTTTCTAAAGGTCTTTCATCATTCTTCCTTGCATTTTTGATGCTTTCCAATGTTTTCATGTCTGGTATTAGTAATTAGTCAGGCATTTTTGGTGCTTAAAAAGATTAAGAAAGTGGGAAAATATATCATATCACTATTTGATAGTTAAATGTAAAAAATATCTTTGAGCCCCCCAAAAATTTAAAATCTTGATATCACAAATTATGACTATTGATTTCTATTGTCTTTCAAAGCAGCAAAGTATAAAAAGTGGTTTTCTGAAATAAAAATAACTTTTTAATAAACGTCATACATGTAGCATAGATAATGTTACTGCATTGTCTGCAAATCAGAGTAATTACAGAAGAATGTTTGTTAAAACTTTCTTTAATGGTAAAGAACAGTTGTCAATTGGAAACACTTTTTACCCAAGAGACATGAACCAGCTGGAAGTATTAAAAAGAAATTATAACTCAAGCAGTAAGTCATCAGCCAAAGCACTGAGACAATGACATACAGGTGCTGGTCATAAAATTAGAATATCATGAAAAAGTAGATTGATTTCAGTAATTCCATTTAAAAAGTGAAACTTGTATATTATATTCATACATTACATACAAACTCATATATTTCAGATGTTTATTTTGTTTAATTTTGATGATTACAAATGACAACAAATGAAAATCTCAAATTCATCATATCAGAAAATTAGAATATTACTGAAGACCAATAAAAACAAAGGATTTATAGAAATGTTGGCCAACTGAAAAGTATGAACATGAAAAGTATGAGCATGTACAGCACTCAGTATTTAGTTGGGCCTCCTTTGGCCTGTATTACTGCAGCAATGCGGCGTGGCATGGAGTCGATCAGTCTGTGGCACTGCTCAGGTGTTATGATAGCCCAGGTTGCTCTAATAGTGGCTTTTAGCTCTTCTGAATTGTTGGGTCTGGTGTATTGCATCTTCTTCTTCACAATACCCCATAGATTTTCTATGGGGTTAAGGTCAGGAGAGTTTGCTGGCCAATTAAGAACAGGGATACCATGGTCCTTCAACCAGGTACTGGTAGCTTTGGCACTGTGTGCAGGTGCCAAGTCCTGTTGGAAAATGAAATCTGCATCTCCAAAAAGTTGGTCAGCTGCAGGAAGCATGAAGTGCTCTAAAACTTCCTGGTATGTGGCTGCGTTGACCCTGGACCTCAGAAAACACAATGGACCAACACCAGCAGATGACATGGCACCCCAAACCATCACTGACTGTGGAAACTTTACACTGGACTTCAAGCAACGTGGATGAAGTGCCTCTCTTCTTTTCCTCCAGACTCTGGGACCACGATTTCCAAAGGAAATGCAAAATTTACTTTCATCAGAGAACATGACTTTGGACCACTCACCAGCAGTCCAGTCCTGTTTCTCTTTAGCCCAGGCAAGACGCTTCTGACGCTGTCTGTGGTTCAAGAGTGGCTTGACACAAGGAATGCGACAGCAGAAACCCATGTCTTTCATACGTCTGTGTGTGGTGGTTCTTGAAGCACTCACTCCAGCTGCAGTCCACTCTTTGTGAATCTCCCCCACATTTTTGAAGGGGTTTTGTTTCACAATCCTCTCCAGGGTGCGGTTATCTCTCTTGCTTGTACACTTTTTTCGACCACATCTTTTCCTTCCCTTCGCCTCTATATTAATGTGCTTGGACACTGAGCTCTGTGAACAGCCAGCCTCTTTAGCGATGACCTTTTGTGTCTTGCCCTCCTTGTGCAAGGTGTCGATGGTCGTCTTTTGGACAACTGTCAAGTCAGCAGTCTTCCCCATGATTGTGTAGCCTATAGAACTAGACTGAAAGACCATTTAAAGGCTTTTGCAGGTGGTTTGAGTTAATTAGCTGATTAGAGTGTGGCACCAGGGGCCATCAATTTTGAACCTTTTCACAATATTCTAATTTTCTGATATGATGAATTTGAGATTTTCATTTGTTGTCATTTGTAATCATCAAAATTAAACAAAATAAACATCTGAAATATATGAGTTTGTATGTAATGTATGAATATAATATACAAGTTTCACTTTTTAAATGGAATTACTGAAATCAATCAACTTTTTCACGATATTCTAATTTTATGACCAGCACCTGTATGCTGTTTGCTAGTAGAACATTTTATCAATAGAGCTGCTTTATATATGGAATGTTTTATTACGTGTTCCCATTTATGACGAACAATCAGCTGCAAGCCACAGATTGCATAATTAACAACTACTTTCTTAAAGGTCTAGAGGAGGATGCTCTTTCTCCAGGTGGATCATCTAAATAAGTGGTCCTCCTAATTGTCAATCATTCTGGTGATGTTTACGTAAGGCCATCCTACGTGCTCGTCCCCATTTCCCCTTACCGATGGTGAGTCTGACACAGTGGACAAATTGCAGTCATCTTTTGGAAAGTAAGCTGCAAACAGCAACTTTTAAAGAGTGTGCACGTGGGTTTGTGCATACTCTGTGCATGTGTTTAATAGACGTTCCCTCTCTGGAGGGTACAGGATTGTGCATGTGCATTTTGTTTTTCAAAGTGGAGAGGGCGAATCTGTTTTAGAAATTCACGAAAATCCTCCACTATACCTTTAAAACAACTTTCCTGCATGTTGAAAAAATATGATTAGATGCAGCAGTGAGTTGTTACATTCCAAGCTAAAGGAATTAGAAAACTGCAACTGTTGTATCAGTATTTTTACTCTCCTTTTGAAGAAGAAAACAAGAAAACAAAATAGGTAGAGCATGAACTTTAAATCACCAAACCATGTATTACAATGATTTCAGACAAACCCATAGAGTTTGCCTGTTGGGGAAGAAAGCTTTGTTAAGGTTTTCTTTTTTCCAGCTACATTTATCTTCATTACAGTAGGTGAAGATAAATGAGACTAAAACTGCAGCTAGTGATTCTGGTGACAGCACCACCAAGAGAAATGGAAGTGCTGATATCCGTGCACATTATAGCACATTAAACCCATGAACAGTGCTAATCAGAACTGGGCTAAAATTGCAGCGAGATCATTGAGTCCTGACAGAATTTTAGTATTGGGTTAATATGCTATATTTTTTAAGTCATTAGTTTCACTGCAGTGAACTACAGACAGATAGGAGACACTACTGCTAGTTTTATATATCTCCAATTTGCTTTCAGAAAACTATCTAAACCATTTATAGGAAAGGGGGCGGGACATCAGCAGCACTGTTTTGACACTACCTAGGTACTGAAAAATCCTAAAAGCAAAACCCCACCGGAAACGGAAATGGGGCCTGTTTACACAGTTGTAGTCTTTTCGCTTCACTCTGTGTACTCCGACGTCGAGGTGCTAACGTCTCTGTTAAACACTTTAAAAAACTCTGAAAATGGAATACGAAAGGTGGATTCTTGATTCTCGACGTCGGAGTACACAGAGTGAAGCGAAAAGACTACAACTGTGTAAACAGGCCCCATTTCCGTTTCCGGTGGCAGGCGAATATTGACTATTCCAACAGAACTCAATGGGATTTACAAAATGCTAAATAAAACACTACAGGAACGTTTTTTCTTTACGAAACTTTTTTTGGAACGTCATTGAACAGCGCTGACGACCCGGTGAGTAGCATATTTTAAAAAAAGAAAGTTTAAGGTTGTTTTAAGGACATTATCGGACATGCACTATGGAAGCCATTCTGAAGCAGCCAGGGGTGGATTCTAAATGAGCCAAAAAGCAGAGACAGGACCAATTGTCAAAATTTTGGTGTCGATCATTCGATTTCATCCTGGACACTACAGAAAATGGGCTAAAAGTGTTAAAAACCGGAATTCTCCTTTAACATTGGGACTGTTTTTTAAAATAACTTTACAGCTTACCTCTCCTGGTTGGTGGGTCGGATCGGGATGTAGAGTGCATCCTGGGAAATCCTCCCAAAGAAGAAGTGTCTCTTCAGTCTCCTCCCATGCCAGACTATCACAGTCATCCTCAAATTCGCATTCTCGTCTGTGATAACAAAGATTAAACATGCATCATATTGTCATTATTGAAACTGAATAGAATTGCACCCTGACATTTGTCTTCTGCAGGCCACTCACAGTTGGGTCAGCATCCTCTGCATCTCCTCGTTGATCTGATTGGCCGAGGAGCCAAAGTGTTCCTCTTCTTTAGCCACGCCCACCTCACTTTCGGTGTTGACTGGTTCCTCACACTCAGTCCCGTTAATTGACAGGGGGGTTGGTTTACGCCTGATACTTAGAGTGGATTGGTTGTTTGGGACCTGCACTGACATGACCACAGTTAGATTTAAGTGATCAAACAAACATGTTGATAAGATTGTATGGAAGCAGGCGTCTGAGCACCTGATACATTTGGATCACATCTTCACAGTTTCTCTGCTGTGCGACATCACACAGACGAGCAGTGATGTCGATTCGCCGGCAGATGTCCATGTCCACCTTCATGGCTTTCTCCTGGATTTTCGTGTCTAGCTCAGACAAATTCTGTAGAGGACAAAAAAATAACTTTCCAAACTTATGCGGGGGGAAAAAACAGCAGGAGATTTAACCCAAATATTTCTGCTCTTCTAACAGAATATTTCTTAAATGTTGGAAGTCAAGCGCATTTAACTCCATTTACTCTAATACCCCTAAATAAAATTCACCATAACCAACTACTTTCAGACTGTACAACCAACAATGCTAGCTCCGTATCAACCATATGTCCACCATCACTTTACCTGTTATTATTGCATATCTATTGTATACTTCACTCATATCTATTTAACTCTGCAATAATTTAATACAATCAATCATTTGCACAGAACCTTACTGTTGTCACTTTATACCAGTGTTGCCTTGCCTGTATATACTTAATGTATATATATATATTTTTTATATATATATTTTTAAATATTTTTTATACTTTGTATTCTTCTTTTTTCCTACTGTACTGTTCACTGTGATGCAACGCTGTAATTTCCCCACTGTGGGACAAATAAAGGATTATCTTATCTTATCTTACTTCATAACTAACCTAATTAACAAATATGGACGGGTTATTTATTATCTGTTTAGCAGAAGTCATTCTGAGAAGAGGTTTGTTAGAGCAAGAAAAACAGTCAAGAGGCTGAGAGTTGCTCTGCAGGAGCTACAGAGATCCTAAACTCAGGTGGGAGAATGTGGCGACAAGATAACCATTAGCTATTGACTTCACGATGCAGAGCAGCAAGATGTAAATAAGAATGGTAATCCAGAGGATTAGGGGATATCACAGATATGTGGAAGAAGGTGCTATGGTCAGATGAGACCTTTTTATTCCAGCAGGTCAAAAACACTGAGCATGCAGTGAAAAAAAGTGGTTTGGATCAAAAGTTAAAGTTCAGACCAAAATCTAAATGAGAATCTGTGGGAAAGACGTATAAGTTGTACAGATTAAAATGTATGACAAAGGTTTTTTTTTTTTTTTTTTTTTACTTTTAAAAAGTTTTTATAACAGTCACATATAACATAAGTAACTCAAAGAAATAAAAAACATCTAAGAGGTACAAATACATTTGGAAGGCCCATAATTTATTATTCAGTATTTATTAAGTGTCTCTTATCTAATAAACATGTTGAAAAATAAATACACATATTTTCTGAAGGAAAAGAATTCCTACTGATACAAAAGGAACAATTATCCCATGACTGTATCGATTCTGCTCACATTGCTCATGAGGCCTTTGAAGAGAACCAGCTCTGCCTTAAGCTGCTGCACTCTAAGAGCCAGTTCGTCCTGACAACCTTCACTCTCCTGCAGGTCCTGCACATATAAGAATAACCAGAGACAAGATTAATTCAAACACCTACAGAGATACCCTGTGGTGTCACATGCAAAACAAAAGATGGCAAGAATATGTAAGCTTTTCAGTCCCTGCAAAGCATACAATAACACTCTAGATGCATGCTGAGTTTTGGAGAAGTTGCCCTTCTTCTGAAATATGGCGACCATGGTCATCTTTCTGGAGGGGGGCTTTTTGCTATTTGCGGTTGAACTAGCTGCCTTCTAAACGGGGTCAAGAGGAAGATTCCTGGCACCGGTGCATGTAAGTATAAAGGAGCTCGCATACACAGGAAACCAAAGACAAAATCTGCATAACACACAACTGTAGGAAGTACAAATAAGGTAATCTACAGCATAGAGATTAGTATCTAAGTTAGAAGTAAGACTTCCTTTGTGACAATGTCTTCTTTTAGGAAAAAAAAAAGTGAATGATTTAAAAATGAATACGAAGGAGGGTGAATGGAAAATATGAGTACCTCAAAGGGTGTGGTTCATTGCTCATTAGACTCAACCTGTAGCTTTGGTATCTTCCTTCCAGCCAATAAATCAATTCAATAAATCACTTAACTAATTTCATTACCGCTACCTAAACTGACAATTGAAATTTCAAACTAAATAGCCGTGCCAAAATCCCTTTTATCGTAATTTACCTGAGATTTTCTGTCTAAAGCCAACAACACTCTACAGGTTTAGTTTTCGTGTGAAAATATTAACGATTTCATGCAAGATTTTTGTTTAAACATGAGGCAGCATAGCGTTACCTCTTGAAGATCCGCTATCTTCTGTTGCAGATCCATCCTCATTGTGTATTCTTCCTCCCATCTAAAAGACAGACATATGAGTTTATGGAGGAGTTTCCGCCAGTTTATATATCAAACATCTTAAATCAGACAAATATTCAATGCAATGACATAGATTTCCTCTCAAACATCATAGTAAGCAACACGTCTGCCTTATCCGCTGATCTAAATTGTTACTTCTCTAAACATTTTAGGTGATTTTAAGCATCTGAGTGCAAATTTGTCCAAATCCTCTTGACAAACTCTTTACCACATGTGATGTAACAGAAGTAATAGCTTAAAGCTGGCCTCCTGATGGCATTGAGACTGTTTTTCTATTCAAGTATAAATTCTAAAAATAAAAAAAAAGTGATGTGATGAAAATTGGATATTTATCATTCCTATTTCTATCTACATAGTTTGAACTCCATAATTAACAATGAACACCTCTCCATTGCAAGAGGAGTAGAGGTATGTAACAAATACCGAAACTTAAAAAAATGTTTCTGTGAAATAGAGATTAAAAAGGGTCGGCTTATTTCGCCCCCTGCCCTTAACGACACAATTAAAGAACTGATGGTGGAATCCTTGCGTGACAGGAAAATTTTATGCGAACTTCAGATGGAAACTCATGATCTCCAAGCGTTCAGTTGGCACCACATCAAGAACAGTCATTCAGCAACAGCTCATATTGTAGACAGAGATATGGGGAAACAAATGCAGGACAATAAACTATAACGGCTCATTAAAATACACAATCCAGGTCAAAGTTGTACACACACTTAAAGGTTATAGCAGCATAAAAAAATGAGATAGCAAAACCACACAAGCATTTCAGCCTCCTCACCTTCTCCAAAAATTATTTAGGTGAAGCAGTTAGAAAAACAGTGGCCTTCTTATACAGATTTCATTGACAAGCTGTTTTATTCATGGAAGAATTTGCAGAAAAGTTTTAGGCAGGTTTTGGTTGGAAAACAAAATCCAAAGCTTTAAACATCTCACAGGGCATTGATTCATCAATCACGGTATATTCTGGTGTTTGAACAGCCCATGATATGAAAAAATGTATGTTAGGGGATGCTCTCCATCACAACTGACTGAGCTTGAGCTGTTTTGGATAAATAATAGGCAAACACACAAGAAACATACCCCCAAAGGACTTGGAGCTACAACTATTGACTCAGGACGGCTGAATACAAATCAAAACAGTTAAGAAACTGAAAACATTTTATTTATTTAGTTAAAGTTATTAGTTGTGATAATGCATAAAATGAAAAATATCAAGGCCAACTTTTGGTTCACATTAGACCGTAAAGGAATGTAAACAACCAATGGGAAGGAAAACCAAAAAAACAATCCATGTCTGAACATTTTGGGCTCTTAATGTGTTGAAGGGGGCTTAAAATACTTGATTTAATTTTTAGTTGCGAATAAAAGGACATTTCTGAAGACAAATAAAGAAATATACATAGACTTTTTGGTTTTGAAAACACTATGTTAAAATAAAACTTTACTAGAAATAATACAATTACTTTTGAAATCTACAGACAATATATCGTTATTCCAAAACAAAGTATAAACTTTATCAAGAAAAGGAATAACTGAGGTTTAAAGTGCATTTATTTCATGTTTCATGAAAAGAAACAACCACGACTAACAGAAGAAGTAGACAAGAGCGAGAAGTAAACTCAAGCTTTTTCCGACTTTGTGAATGAATATTTGTGTGCAGCTGCTCACATGATTGACTCATAAACTGTAATACACTGAAAGCCACAGTGTTACAGCTCACATGGCTTGGCCTTGCACCTCATAAGCACATGAGGGAAAATCCGTGCTCTGCATTCTGCAAAAATCTCTGTTCAAATTGCAAAATGCTGCAGAACGCTTAACCCATCAGGGAATACTAAATCTGAAAGGATCTGACTCATGAAACAGGGGCTACTTCGTATGGGGGACGCTTGTCTGATAGGCGCAAAGTCGAGGAATGCTGAGGCCCCCTCCTTTGAGCTGTTACAGCTTTGCAGTGCATACTGCATTGCAGATACTGTGTGTGTGTGTGTGTGTGTGTGTGTGTGTTGGGGGGGCTGCGCAATGGAAGAAAATGTCTGCAAAAGAGAGGAAGTGGGAAGCTTGCGTCTGCTTTACTCTAGTAAAGGCTGAGGTGGTAACCTCAGTGGAGGGAAGTAAGGGGCAATAAGAGAGAAAAAGGAAGGTACTTCGCATAAACTACCTCAAGGCCTTGATGACAGAGGCTTTGATCCGACCTGCATTAACCTTGCTTCTATTTAGACAGAAAAAAACAATCATCTCAAAATCTGAAGATCTCAATGCAAACTGACTTGGGCTCTCATAAGTTGGACAAGTATTTAGTCAGTCTATAGTTTCAATGTGCAAAGAAACCAGAAGACCGAGCAATGTCAAATTACTGAGTGGCTGCAGTTGTCCCTCTGCATTCGTCCACAAAGAGCCACTGTAATGTGGTCAGGATAGTCTGAAGAAGGCATCACTGCTTGCTGGGACACAATGCAAGGGCAACGCGCTGATGAATGTGCAGGATCATGAGGCCTCTTGAAGGTCACCCAGAGAAGACAATAACTCTGTCCAATTACTGAAAATAGGAAAGAGTGTGCCATCTTGATTCCAGCTGGACGTTGAAGCATGTCGACTTTAAGTGATAGAGATTTCTGTTAGATTCTGTTAAAGGAGTAAATGAATAACTCTCTTAATTCAGAATATAGTAGGATTACCTGGTCTAATGGGCTAAAGCTAAAAGTTAGTAATACTTTCACCATCTTAAAAAGAAAATCTAATGAGCAGGACAAAAAATCATACAAATAAACCCTAAAATGTACAAGACCACAGCAAAAACAAATAAAACAATTCTAGCATTGGTCATTGTTTTCAATATTCGTGATCTTTTAATCCCCTGTCCAAGTTCTAATGAATGTTTTTATTAAAAGGCAAAAGGAAACTGGAGACATGAGGCGGGGGATCACCATTGACCTTCCTGTGTGGAACACATACAGAGAAGTCTTTCAAACTCATACAAAACGCTAATCCGGCCGTTGTCTTCTGTTTATTGAAATTTAGGTTGCCGTAGTACCAGACTCCAGAGGGAAAGACATCCTTCTCCAGCTCTTTGTGGAGGATTCCAAAATATTCCTACATCAGGAAGGATATGCAGAGAATAGTGGTCGCTTAGAACAAGAGACAAACTCTTTCTAACTGGTGCGAATCTGCTAATAGAACATAGAAAAAGACAAATGCCTTTGATGGGAGCCAGAGTCAGGTACCTCATGGGTACAGCAACCATTGATGTAGTTTGTTAAAAACATTGGTGTTTAATTCTGATAGGTCAAATTCAAGAGGAAAAAAGTCTTAATAACAAGATCACTGAATTTAAGTAGGTCAATAAGGCTTCAGCCTTTGAGTTGATGCCATGAACTGTGAGTATTTTTTAAATATTACCAGGATGTGTTAATAGATCTAGGTCTACAACGGTGCTGTTAAGATGTTGTTATGAGAGCTTCTGTTTGCTGAGGTATTGGAATAACATCATTATTAGTGACATTAGTGTGGTACTAGATCAGTGTGGTTAATTAATATTTTACAAAAAGACCAGATGAAGCTTGGAGAGCCAAGCAGGACCTGGAGATATTTTTAATGACATGGCTCCAACTTTGATCTCCAGTAAGCGATGTAGACAGCAAACTAGTTTATTTACAGAATTAGTTAAGAACTACCTTTAGCTCAACCAATGGTTGAGAACTAGAACAAATTGGATGGAAATTTCCCAATAGTCCCTTCCATAGGTTCTTGGTCAACCCAGGCTTCCCATTCATGGCCCATTTCTCATCCCAATAGCTTGGGGTCAGGACAGAAACACACCGGTAAAACAGGGGCTTCTCCTTTTGGTCAGCTTTTTCTTCACCCTGACACACTGGAGCACAACTTAACTTATTGCCAAGAAAACCACAATTGATCTACCATTTGTCCTAATATAGTTTGTGAACAATTAGTTTGAAATCCGATTTTTGCAGCAAGAACTGAGTCTCTTTTTTGTCTTTTGTTTTTATTTTGCTTGTTTGTGTGTTGTAATTGTAGAGGCAGCAATTTCATGCTGTTCTTCTATATGAATGTGTTAATAAAAATACTGGAAGAGATGTCTGAGGTCTGCTCTGGGCTTGGCGCTTAATCTTCCACCTCTTACATCAAGAAATTGGTATGATGTAGCTGCAGACTCTAATGCCCTGCAGTATGAGACCCTTTTCAGTAAATACTTGATAGTCCAACCAGAGCATCTGCAGAGATACAGAGCTCAAGTTCTCAAAAAAATAAAAAAAGACTGAAAGGGATGAGGCCAGAGAACCTCTGCAGTTTTTTTCTCCTCACCAATCAGAACTCCTGCTAAAAGAATAGGCTATAAAAGTTATCTACAGCATGTTAGATATTGATTGCTTATATCTGTTGGGCCATAAACCACAATAATAATTTTGGACAGTGAGGACCAATGTCCATGTGTCATCTTAACATGTTTACTGGATTAGAGGGTGCAGTTCGGCTCCACCGTGCTGCTGCCCTCACAAGGGTTCCACAAGACACCTCACATGGTGATGTGGCTTGGCACCACCACTGTGTTGAGGACAAAAAACCACACACACAGGATTTCTTTCTCTTTCCATGAAGGTGCCCAGGGGTTCACATTGGTAGAGGAAGCTATCGTGGAAACACAGGCCAAAGGTCCAGATCTCCGAAAAGGTTAACATTTCAGAACCAACTTACTGCAAAACAGACCATTTGCAACATTTCTCTCTGAGTTTCAGAACTGACAGATTTGGACTGGAGGTAAGAGACTCCTAAAGCCCCTGTCACACCTTGACGATTTGGCCAACGTATGCCTGACATAAGAAAAAATCTGGCAAAAACACTGGTATATGTTGGATAAGTTATGGGTCAGTTCTATATAAGATATCAGCATGCTGAAGCACGCTGGCATACATCGATAAATGGCAAGTACGTTGAGAAATTTGGAGCATGTTCAAAATTTCTTGTCATATGCCAGTGTATGCTCATACGTGGGCCATAAGTTACAGGTAAATTATTTGATCGTTGACATATGTTAAGTGTAAGTTACTCATAATTCATTATGTCTAGCTTATCCAAAACCTATGAGTAACTTGTTATTAACTTATGCATAACTTATCAATGACTTATCTCCAACAGATATTAACGTATTTGACGTGTTTCAGATCACCACTGAATGTGTTTCCAGCGTACAGCTACTGTTTAATGCTGTATTGGCAGCGTTTTGGTACAAAGGGGGTTCACAGGAGGAAAGCGTCAATACTCCTCCAGACTTCATCCCCATCATAGGGTGAAGCGAGAAGGTGAGTATGATGCGTTAACGCACAAGGCCACGAGCAATAAACTTCCTAGCAGACATTACGCGGAATCCGCTGCGACTACAAACCTTCTTTCTTTCCTTTTCTCTCTTCTTTTTATATATTTATCCTTTATTTTTTATTTTTTTTGGTGGATGGCAAACAGCAGCTAGGTCAAACCCGCGATCAAATAAATCTTTTTATGCAGGCCGGGCGCCTCCAGGCGCATTGCTGCCCCCCTCAGGACACTGGTTTGTGACATTTCATGGGCATTAAGCTGCTGTGCGTTGTGCATAACTTCGGCTGTCGTTGGACAAACCTTATGAAAACTCTATATATGCCCAAAATTGGAAAAAAATACATTGAAAGTCCAGCGTATGCCAGTGTTTTAGAAGATTCTGGGACAGGGGCTTTATGAAGCTCTTCCGTGATATTTACCAGGCTGGGACAAAGGAACCTCTCATGTGTGTGGCCTTCTGCTATACTGCTAAGTGCTGGAGGAAAACTCAAGCCTTCAAAATAGATTCACAGACGTTTGCAGGTCTGGCACCATTAGGGACAGATTCTCCAGTTAAAGAATAGGTCTTTTCATGATTTTGATCATTTCCTGTGTTTAATCTTGAGTAAAGACAAAGCTATCAAGATGGATCACATGGTATGCTATGGGACAGTAACATGTCTTATTTGTTGTTTATAAGGCTAAAACAATTTTTATTTCACTAGGGGGTTTAAACACTAATATGACATTAACGTTTACATGTTTTCTTATACACTCATTACATTTTGATTACCAAATTATGATCCAAAGTAATTTAATAAAATCTCCATGTGTGGTCGCTGCTAGCTCACCCAAATAAGACTAAGAATCAATTAACTAAAGATAATTTATTTCTGATTAAGCAAATCATTTAATGAAACATTATTTGTGCCAGTAATGTTTTATTTGCCTACTGGATTTGCATTGTAAATTAGTTTGAACATATTCCCCTTGATCTAAATTAGTAAAAAGCTAATTTGATCGCATCTCAAATTCTTCAAGATAAACTTTGCTTCTCAAACACAAAATTCATGCTAAATTGTTATGTGTTTGCGTCATTTCATTGATTTTAGTTTTCAAACATGTTTTTGCTTTTTCTTAGAAAGTAGCTTAGTTTAGTTGAGTTTAACTAGTTTTTGTAAACGTAGGGGGTTGAGGTTTCTTGAATACCCAAATACAGAGATGAATTCTTGTAGGTTTAATGAAGAAAAGGTGAGGAAAACATCCAAAAACACAAAAATACTGAGAACTAGTGATGGTATGAGAAGAGCAGAGGCGTGTGTCGATTAATGAAGGGGGCGTTTCCCTGAAGTGTGTGTCGAGGTGTCATTCATTTAGGGGCGGGGCCAAAATAGATTACGTCCAAGCCTCTCTACCGTGATACCATGATGCCGCTTCAGGAATTGGTTCTGAACGCTCGAGAACTTCGACAGGCATTTAAACAGCCTCACTACTCAGTCAAGATGTGGGAGTTTGTAGGAGAGTTTCTATAAGTTGAACAGAGTTTGGATATATTCCAAAGATGGATTGATTCGAAAAATAACCAATCTAGTTGTTTAAAACAATTTTGGTTAGATTAAACAATGTAATGAATATATGCAATATATGGTACCATTGCTAGGTGTGTCAGCTGTAAGACATTGACTTGACTTCCACTCCTGAGGTTGTTGCTTCGAGACCCACTATAGACTTTTGAAAGCTTTGATAATACTTAACAAGTGTTTGGCTAATGTGAGTAATTTGTATTGGTTTGTACAAATATAAATTGGCTAAAAACACTGCCAAATGAGATTGGTTGGTTCAACCAAAAGATTGGTTGAACACATAACCTCAAACCATATTAAAACCAAAGACTGAGGAAAAACTATTATGTTTGAATAAAAATGACTAACACCTTTCATTTTGCTCATAATTTCCCAATTTGCACAAGCACTTTGACTGTTTGCTTGAGCTTATTTCATTAAAATTGTGCAAAAACAGTGTACCTTAAATGACTATTCTCTTCTAAGACATTTAACACTCAAATGAAACTTACAAAATATTTCTATTATACAGATAATTAAGAATTTCAAAACAACTTAAATAGGGGGGAAAAATCCAAAAAGAACAATCGCAAAAAAACACAGATTATATTACTAGCTGTAGTTATGCACTCCACCAGTAGGTGGTGACATGTTCACATAAAGCTTCATGAAGAGTGGGGATCATTGAAGCAATATGGCCAAACGCCTCATGGGGTTTCATCTCACCATCACTACTGAGAACCAAAAACCAGCAAACATCGGGGAAAACCCACGTGGGGAGCCAGAGACGAGGAAGCAACAAAGAACAAGGAACCAGAACTGAAGAACTGCACAGGGAGAATATAAATGGGAGACAGAACAAAGACTTTGGTACTCAACTGATATGGAGCAGATGTGGATGGAAGAGACTAGAAGGGAGCTAGGGGAAAGGAGACAGGCACAAGGGGGCAACAGAGAGTAATTTAAGACTGATTAAATAAACATGAATTGGAAAATAAACCAAAGATAAACAAAACAGATATATTTATAATTGAAAACTAAAAACTAAAAAGTCCCAAAAGGGTAAAACCATAACAGCTTTAGTCAAGAGTTTTTAACTGAAATGTGTTTGACTTGTAGCCGAATGATTTTTGCTAATAAACTCTTATATTTTGAATGGAAGGTGTGGTGAATTTATTCTATATACACGCAGAACTATCTGTTTCAACATGATTTGAGCCTGATATACACACATTTGTTGTTTTAACATACAGCCAGTGGGACACGTGTTGATAAACAATATATGACAGTCTGAATGAAATCTGATAAAATAACATATTTAAACACATTTAAAATAAATATACTCAAGTTGCACAACATAATCTTCTAACAGAGCCCCATATAACAAATCCTAAATTGTTTATTTCAGGAGAGTCACATTGAATGTAAACTTTTGTTCTGAGGGATCCCTGCTAAAATGACTTCATCTCACAGCTGTGGCCTAAATTAATTTTTTTTTTACTAACAAAATAAAGTTAGGATAGTAGCTCATTTGTTTTGTGGATCAAGTCCAATAAACATCAGCTGTAATTTAGAAAGACGCAACACCACCTGGCCTTTCTGCAATCTTAACACTCATTCAGTTTATATTTAGCTCCTCACATGTGCATATTTCCTCTGCCTTTTGTAGCAGCACCACCTGCCGCTGTGGTGAAATCATGAGGTGAATGCAGACCAAGCAGGAGGTGCAGGACAGACAAGTTTTGTGCTGACCTTACAGAGGAGCTGTCTCCTGCTGAAGACAGCTGATCTGCAGCTGCTCAACAGCCCTGATGACTCATTAAAAGCAACCATGGCACAAAAAAACAGGAATTAGTTCTGCAAGAGAGTATTTACAAGCAGACAAAGTTGAAAAATAAAAGTGTTTTTTTTTTGTCATCTTACCTTCGTTTATATTCATCTCTCTCTCTCTTCACTTTAGCCAGGACATTGTAGAGGGCTCTTATCTCAGGGGTGATGGTGTCAATCTGGACCCCAACTCCATCCGGGTGCATCCAGGATACCCCCGGGCTTGGTAGGCGCTCTGCCCCAGGGCCAAACTTGCGGGTATGGTTGTAAGACCAGATGGTCCCCGGCAGGAACCGTGGAGGAGGGTTGGTGGAGATGTGTTGGGTTCCTTTGGTTGACACCGGAGAGTCCACACAGGGGGAGGACTGGCTGATGGTGATGGTTGGGTTGCAGGTTGCATTGGTTTGGGTTAAAAAGGAGTTTTCAGTAGCTGCTGGTGAGAAAGTTGTTGCAGATGATGGTGGAAACAGGCTTGTGGGCCTCCTTGCTGAGTTGTTAGTGTTGTGAAATGGAAGAGAGCCTGGTCTGAGTGGGATGGTCCCCACAAACCCAGTTTGCACACCTGCCTCCTGGGTGTGCAGTTTGTTCTCACAGCATCCATCCTGACAGCTCTTGTTGACATCCAGCGCCTGCTGCAGCTGCTTCTCCAAAATTTTATTCCTGCGCTCCAGTTCATGCACTTTGGCCAAAAAGCATCGGAACCTGAGGTTAAGGGTCTTCAGCACGCTGATGTTGGAGCCCAGGTCGTTCCTGAGGGCCATGGCTGCAGGGGGGTGCGGCTGCTGCTGCGGCGGCACTGCGCGGTGCTGGTAGGGGCCGCTCTGGGCGTGGTGGGGGTAAGGAGAGGTCTGCGGCTGTCCCGGCAGGTCGGGCCCCGGTGCCAGCTGATCGGACAGAAGAAGAGACGCCGGGTCCGGTCCGCCGAACGCGGCTTCGGGAAGGAGGACAGAGGGGGAGTCCGGGTGTCCGGGGGCCTGGCTCTGCTGCTGGGGATGCGTGTTGGCCCCCAACAAAGGATTCATTCTATGGTATTTAAAACTAAAGCGCTGCAGATCTGGCATGAACTCGGGCGGATAAATGTCTTCCTACAGCAGAATATTATTTAAGAATAAACTATGTTTTAAACAGAAGGAAGCCTTCAGAAACACAGCAACACGCCACTGTTTGCCGGTTTATGTAAGCGTTTATAAATAAAAACCTGATCCTTAAAGCCCGGAGGTCTTAACGTCAACTGCTGCTGCTGGATCCCTATAATCTCTTTACGGTCCTCAGCGAAAACCAGCAGAGGTGGAATCTACCAAACACTAGGAGATGCTCTGCAAAAAGAAACAGAAAGAAATGAAAGAGAGAAGAGGCAGCAGATGAATGAACGACAAACAAATGCAGCTCCTCACTCCTTAATGGAGTTCAGGCTGAAAGATGTAACCGCAAGCAGGAAAAGGTGCTGCGGGATTGGAGGATCATCCTACCGTAAACACGCAAATAAAGGAGCACAGAAAAACTCAAAACGTCAGTAGTATTTATCAGAGGTGGGTACGGTACCCACATTTTTTTTTCATTGCAAAGAAATAACATACATGTGCAATATAGAACATTAATAATTACAAGCATATACAACAACAAAGGGCTTTAGAGAACAGAAATATTATTTTTAAAATGGCAAAATCAAGTCTAATCTATACTCAATGGTTATAATTCTTTATGGGCAGTTATGATACATGGCTTTAGCATTTTAATTAAATTATAAGGATTTTATATAGATATTTATAGAAGATAATAAAAAAAAGAGGTTATTGTTGTAAATATCTGGAGGTGTGAATATGATATTTACCATAAATAATAATAATAATAATAATAATAATAATAATAATAATAATAATAATAATAATAATAATAATAAATGTATAATACATAAAAATTATCTTTTGAAAAATTCACATTTCTCCATCCCAAACAAAATATGCTTATCTGTTAAAGTAATGTTAAGATTTTTTTTGATGAAAAAATGGACAGATCTCTCCAGAATATTTTGGTATAATTACAATCCCAAAAAAGATGAATAAGCTTTCTTCATTATTTTTACAAAAAGTACACACTGGGTCCAAAGCCCATTTATATATTCTTATCAAAAGCTATTTAACAAGATAAACATTATGAATAATTTTATAAGAAATTTCTCTTACTTTATTGTTAGTTAAGTATTTTTTAAGGATCAACCAAGTCCACTTCCAATTTATATTTTCAAAAGTGTTGGACCAATAAAACATACCAGCTGGTGAAAAAACAACATCTTGTAATAGAATATTCTTAACCTTTTGTTTGTTGTTTTCTTACTTATAAAAAGACAATCATGATCAGTATAAATGGAGTTTGGATCAAAACTTGGCACTGAGTAAATTTGACATGTGGGTAAAGATGATAAAAGTTTTAATGACCCACTAGGGATTAGTCAAACACAACAGCATATTCTTTATGGGTAAAAGGAAATTGGAAAAGTGACACCAAGTCAGAGTAAGACAATAAATGATCATTTGGATTTAGTAATTGGCTCACAAGTTATATTCCCCTATGGTACACAAAAACTTATACTTAAGCAAGAGTAGCACTACTTTATCATACTTTTACACAAGTAAAAGTAGAATTTAATGAAATTTCCCAAGTAAGCATAGCAAAAAAATTTGATTAAAATGGCTACTCAAGTAAGTTTCTGAGTAACTGATCTACCTACCTCTGATGAAGGGATTTATTATTTTCAAAATTATGTAGAATTGAACAAAATAAAAGTGTAATGCAGATTTTGGTGTTTCATAAAATAAGATAGAAATAAACATATAATATACAGTAAGTAGTAAATAAACAGTTTAGGTGGAATGAACACTCTTCAAAATGTTGTTTTTTTTGCAATAAAACTTACAAAATCAATAGGTAGGGTATTTAAGATCAGGTTAATTTACAGTATACAGCATACTGTATGTTCACTCAACCTCTGATTGCAACAGCAGAATCAGCAGATGGAAAATAACATCAAAGAATAATCCTTGAGAACAAAAAAGAAGAAAATGTGTCTCTCAGAGAAAACAACCTGATCCTGAACGGGGAGAAGCCGAAGGAGATCATTGTCGACTTCAGGAAGAACCGGCCTAACCACGCTTCACATCAGCTGCTCAGCTGTAGAGGTGGTCAGTAGCACCAAATTCCTGGGGGTGCACATTACAGACAACCTCACCTGGACTGTAAACACCACCTCACCACCGCCTCACCACCACCTGCGGAGGATAAGGAGTGCCCACCTGCCCCCACCCATCCTCACAACCTTCTACAGAAACACCATAGAGAGCGTTCGGACCAGCTGTCTCACTGTGTGGTTTGGAGGCTGCAGCGCTTCAGACTGGAAAAATGTGCGAAGGGTGGTGAGAACAGCAAAGAGGCTCATCGAGACTCCTCCCCCTCCGTTCAAGACATTTCATCCCAGCGCTGGGTGTCTTGAGCCCATAACATCAGTCACCCCTCACACCCCCACCATGGACTGTTACCCCTGCTGCCCCCTGGGAGGAGGCTTCTCAGCATCCACTGCAGGGCCAGCAGGTTCTGCAACAGTTTCTCCTTCACTGCCATCAGACAGCTAAACTGTTGAAAAAACTCTAAATTAAGTCCAAGACTCTGCATCACATTGATAATACCAAACCAAAATACTGCACATTTGCACCATATATATTTCCCTTGAGATGCTCTGAACGTCCATATAAATCCTTGTTTTTTGATCACTGCTGCACTTTCTGAAATGAAAATATTCATTTTACTGCTAAGCTGCTCATTCACTGTCTGAATGCTGTATAAAACAAAATTTTGTTTTGTGTACACTCTATGTATTCACAATGACAATAAAAGTTGTCTAAGTCTAATGGTGCATATTTGTTTCAAACAAGCTTGTTTTTATTTCGGAAAGTTATTCAAAATAGCAAAAAATTGTAGTCAAATAAGAGTAGTGATACTTTATTTTTAGTGAAATAAAAGTAAAACGCTGTAAAACTACACCTAAATGTTTTTTTTTTTTCAATAAGTTTTTCGAGATAATATAGCTGAGTATGCAAGTGAAGATTCTCAGTCATCCAGGTCATAGTCATTCCAAAAAAGTTAATAAAAAAAACAACAATTAAGTGAACTTGGACTTTTTGAATTGAAAAAACTTCCTGGATGGGAAGCGAAACGCCTTCAAACTTGGAAAGAAAGTCCAGTGGATTGTTTTTTTTTTTTAACTTTTCTGGAATGTAGCTGGGTAAATGTGGATATAGATACTATCCACCGCTAGTATTTATATCCATTATTCATTTTCAAGTTACAGTTATAAACTTGTGTTAAGCCCACTTGTTTATTTTAAGTATCTGATTAACAAATATGAATTTCTATTCAGAACCCTTTAGCATAGTTTTTCCTGGAAAGAATATGAAACAAGCTTCAGATCGCATCATCATTAAAAATGTTTTATACATTTTTATATGCAACCTGCACAATGAAGACAAAGGCAAAACAAAACAAAAGTAAAAAACAATAAAAAAGAGAGTTTGTCTCTTCTATACAATTAAAGGTACATAACGGCTCAACCCATTTAATGTTATCTAGAACCATAATTTAATTCAAACTGCTTCAGTTTATGAGTAGGTGCATAGCGTTATCAGCAAGGGCCTTAAGAAAATCTGTTCTATTTTCAGTGATTTATTTGGACAATATAGATGTTTTGCAAGTTAATTTTCTTTTTGGTATATTGTGATCAGCATAGTTTGACCCTAAACTAGTTTTGGAAGTCTTCCGCCAACCCTAACTGCTCACTGGTCCCTGCCTGAACCCCATTAATTTCTTGGAGCCACCTTTGGCAATAGCTCAGATGATGAATCTGCTAGTAAAGATTGCCATACACTCTATAAAGCTGGCCTTTAATGAGTGCTGGAAAGAAAACATAGCTGGGAAAAAATAAAAAAAAGTTATGGAGGCTGGTGTTCTAATCAGAAGAGTGTTCTTTCTATTCAGAATAACACACCATGGAGAAAAGTACAGCTGTTAAACTAAAGATGGATCAAGCTAATTACAAGACAGTTTATTTTAATGATCTCAGAGGATTTATCATTTCATATGCATAAAACATGCATATGCATGAGACATAGCCAAATATGGTTTGAACTTATGTTCCTCTACCAAGGATTTCAATCAAACAAAATGATTGCATTTAATGCATACGCCTACTGGTGAAATTAAGGTTCTATTTAAAATGCGACAATTGCTAGAATTTAAAACCACTGGACAGATAAATGTGTAGATTAACTGCATTTTCATGGATAGTTTCTTATTTTCAATACAGGCTCTAGACATTCCATGATAGTTATTTTATGTAGATTAGAAAATGTGTGGCTCAGCTTCATGATTTAATAGAAGAGTTTTGAAAGCTTATGCTATGCTTAAATGTAGATTTTCTTGTTGCTCTGCAGATCTTGTTTTTCTTTAAGCAGTTTTGCCAATATTTTAAAAGATTGTGAAAAGGAAGTCGGGTAGCTTAAAGGAATTAATTTATGGTATGTAGTGTCAAAAAGACAATGTACCATTTGCAGAAATAAGGATAAACTTTAGCACTTTTCATTCAATATTGTAAAAAAAAAAAAAAAGTGTTAACTTTCCCCTATATTAACCAGTTAAAACACTATGCAACATCTGCACATTTATATCCATCACACTACTACATACACTCACCGGCCACTTTATTAGGTACCCCATGCTAGTAACGGGTTGGACCCCCTTTTGCCTTCAGAACTGCCTCAATTCTTCGTGGCATAGGTTCAACAAGGTGCTGGAAGCATTTCCTCAGGGAGTTTGGTCCATATTGACATGTTGGCATCACACAGATTTGCGGCTGCACATCCATGATGCGAATCTCCCGTTCCACCACATCCCAAAGATGCTCTATTGGATGGAGATCTGGTGACTGTGGAGGCCATTTGAGTACAGTGAACTCATTGTGATGTTCAAGAAACCAGTCTGAGATGATTCCAGCTTTATGACATGGCGCATTATCCTGCTGAAAGTAGCCATCAGAAGTTGGGTGCATTGTGGTCATAAAGGGATGGACATGGTCAGCAACAATACTCAGGTAGGCTGTGGCGTTGCAACGATGCTCAATTGGTACCAAGGGGCCCAAAGAGTGTCAAGAAAATATTCCCCACACCATGACACCACCACCACCAGCCTGAACCATTGATACAAGGCAGGATGGATCCATGCTTTCATGTTGTAGACGCCAAATTCTGACCCTACCATCCGAATGTCACTGCAGAAATCGAGACTCATCAGACCAGGCAACGTTTTTCCAATCTTCTATTGTCCAATTTCGATGAGCTTGTGCAAATTGTAGCCTCAGTTTCCTGTTCTTAGCTGAAAGGAGTGGCACCC